CTAAGCACCACCTAGACTACTTAAATGATTGAAAATGATTATTACAAGACTATAATCATTTGTGAAAAATTTAAAGCTAATTAATTTATTAAAAAATATATTATTTTTTCAACACTATTCATTTATAACTAAATCAATAATTTGTGACTAATTTTAATCAGTTGTAATTTTTTTTGATAATTATAGTGAATAATTAGTTACAAATTATTATTCCAACATAAATCTTTTAAAACCCAATGAATAATTATCTACAAATGATAACTAATAATTTATAAAAATATTTTTAGACTAAATTATCAGTTCAATTTAAAAAAAAATCTTAATTGAGTTACAAAACAATAACACTAAAATTACTTAGAATTTTGTTGACTAAATGTGAATATTGACTTGATTTTGTCCTAAGTAGTTTTGATGAATTAGTTTGATGGTTAAAAATGTACATCTTATTTTTTAATTTTTTAAATTTAAATCTTAGAGTCAATATTTATAAAAATTTATTAAATATTTCTAAATGTATCTTATATTGTGAAATTTTGAATATGTCGTTGATGTTTTCTTAAAACTCGTTGATGTAACAACCACAGCTTTTTTTTTTATGTATCAAACAAATGCTAAAATATAGTTTTCAGTATTTTTTTATTTAATTACCAAATTTTAGAAAATATTTTTTGATAATTGTAGTCAATAATTAGTTACAAATTATTATTCCATATTAATCTTTTGAAACCATATAAATAATTATCTATAAATGATAATTAATAATTTATGATTAATTTTAATCAGTTGTAAATTTTTTTAGTAATTGTAGATAACCAATAATTTACGACTAATTTTAATCAGCTGTAAATTTCTTTTTTTGTAATTGTAGTCAATAATTAGTTACAAATTATTATTCTAATCTTAATCTTTTGAAATCAAATGAATAATTATCTATAAATGATAACTAATAATTTGTAAAACTATTTTTAGACTAAATGATTAGTCTAATTTTTTTTAAAAAAGAATTCTTAATTAAGTTACCAAAATAATAATGCTAGAATTACTTAGAATTTTTTTTACCGAATGTGAATATTGATTTGATTTTGTTCCAAGTAGTTTTGATGAATTGGTTTGATGGTTAAAAATAGATATTTTATTTTTAAAATTTTTAAATTTAAATCTTAGAGTCGGTATTTATAAAAATTTATTAAATTTTTTCAAATGCAACTTATATTGTGAAAATTATGAATATGCTTTGTTAAAGGTTTCTCAAAACTTGTTGATATAACAATCACCGTTTGTTTTTATATTTTGGTTTTTTGTATCAAATAAATGTTAAAATATATTTTTCAGCATTTTTTTTAATGTAATTACCAAATGTTAGAAAACATTTTCTTGGAAAACAACTTTTTGAAAAATAACTTTTTTATAATCGATTTTTCTATTGAAAGTTGTTTTCTCAAAACTCCTTGATGTAACAATCATAATCTGTTTTTGTATTTTAGTTTTTTTGTATCAAAAAAATACTAAAATATATTTTTCAGCAATTTTTTTTATGAAATTACCAAATATAAAAAAAAATTTGGAAAATAACTTTTTGAAAAATAACTTTTCCATAACTGATTTTCCTATTGGAAGTTGTTTTCCACTAAACAAACGGAGTCTAAATAGATAATAAGTAATCTATCATTTTTTCTTCCTTATTCCTTCATTTTATTACATTTATCATTCTTCCAAATTCCTACGTGTGATCCTTTCTAATAAAACAATCCTAATTTTTCGAGGTGGAACAAACTTTTTCACATTTAAAAAAAATGACAAGCAATTTGATTCCTTAATAATAATCACAATTTAAGGGTTCAATCTATTATGTCATTAAAAAAAAAAAAACTACACAAAATATAAATGATAACTGATAATTTGTAAAAATATTTTTAGACTAAATTATTAGTTCAATTTCCAAAAAAAAAAAAATCTTAATTGAGTTATCAAAATAATAATGCTAGGATTACTTTCTTTTTTTTTAATAAATATGAATATTGACTTGATTTTGTCCCAAGTAGTTTTGATGAATTGATTTGATAGTTAAAAATGTAAAGTTTATTTTTTAATTTTTTTTAAAATTTAAATCTTAGAGTAAGTATTTATAAAAATCTATTAAATTTTTCTAAATGCATCTTATGCTATGAAATTGTGAATATGTCTCGTTGAAGTTTTCCTAAAATTCGTTGATGTAACAATCACAACCTCGTTTTTGTGTTTTAGTTTATGTGTTAAACAAATGTTGAAATATATTTTTCAATGATTTTTTATGTTGTTGTCAAACCTCATAAAATATTTTTTTGAAAAGTAACTTTCTAAAAAATAGATTTTCGGAATTGATTTTCCTATTGAAAGTTATTTTCCACAAAACAAACAGAGCCTAAATAGATGATAAGTAATCTATCATTTTTTTCTTTCTTATTCCTTTATTTTATTGCGTTTAGCATTCCTCTAAATTTCTCCCAATGATCCTTTTTAACAAAAAAATCCTAATTTGTCGAGGTGGAACAAGCTTTTTTGCATTTAAAAAAAACCATAAGCAATTTGATTCCTCAATAATAATCACAATTTAAGGGTTCAATGTATTATGTCGTTAAAAAAAAAAATTATACAAAGCCCTAAGTAATTTTATACTTTGTAAGATATTCAAATACGGTGCGTCTTTTTCACTACTAAAAACAAAGCCAAACTAAAAAAAAAAAAACAAAAATACACACATAAGATTCATTTGTAACTAAATCAATAATTTGTATAAATTTTAATCGGTTGTAAAATTTTGTTAGTAATTGTGGTCAATAGTTAATTATAAATTATTTCAACATTAATCTTTTGAAACCAAATGAATAATTATTTATAAATGATAACCAATAATTTGTAAAACTATTTTTATACTAAATTACCGAGTTCAATTTTTAAACAAAAAAAAAAAAAAAGGATTCTTAATTGAGTTATCAAAACAATAATGCTAGGATTACTTAGATTTTTTTTAATAAATATGAATATTGACTTGATTTTGTTCCAAGTAATCTTGATGAATTGGTTTGATGGTTAAAAATGTATATTTAATTTTTTAATTTTAAATCTTAGAGTCATTATTTATAAAAATTTAATTTATTAAATTTTTATAAATGCATCTAATATTGTAAAAAATTTAATATGCCTTGTTGAATTTTTTTCAAAACTCATTGATGTAACAATTACACTCGTTTTTGTATTTCAATTTTCTTTATCAAACAAACACTCGAAATATTTTTTCTAGCATTTTTTTTATATAATTATCAAATGTCGGAAAATATTTTTTTGAAAAATTACTTTCCGAAAAATAGTTTTTCCGGAATTGATTTTTCTATTGAAAGTTGTTTTTCGTCAAACAAATGGAGCATATGATAAGTAATCTATCATTTTTTCTTCCTTGTTCCTTCATTTTATTGCATTTATCATTCCTCCAAATTCATATGAGTGATCCTTTTTAATAAAACAATCCTAATTTGTCAAGGTGGAACAAGCTTTTTCACATTTAAAAAAAACGACAAGTAATTTGATTCCTTAATAATAATCAAAATTTAATAGTTCAATGTATTATGTCATTAAAAAAAAAAAAATACACAAAACCCCAATAACCATAAAACACAAAGGCCTATTGTTGTAATTTTATACTTTATAAGATACTCAAACAAGGTGCGTCTTTTTCACTATTGAAAACAAAGCCAAACTAAAAAAAAACGCATAGGAATTATTTGCAACTAAATCAATAATTTATAATTAATTTTGATCAATTGTAAAATTTTATTGATAATTGTAGTCAATAATTAATTACAAATTATTCCAATATCAATCTTTTGAAACCAAATGAATAATTATCTATAAATTAGAACTAATAATTTGTAAAAATATTTTTAGACTCAATCATTAGTTCAATTTTTTTTAAAAAAAAAATTCTTAATTGAGTTACCAAAATAACAATGCTAGGATTACTTAGAATTTTTTTTAATAAACATGAATATTGACTTGATTTTGTCCCAAGTAGTTTTGATGAATTGGTTTAATGGTTAAAAATATATATTTTATTTTTGATTTTTTGAATTTAAATCTTAGAGTTAGTATTTATAAAATTTTTTAAAAAATTTCTAAATGCATTTTATGTTGTAAAATTAGGAATATGCCTCGTTGAAGTTTCCTCAAAACTCGTTGATGTAACAATTACAACTTGTTTTTGTATTTTAGTTTTCTGTTTCAAACAAATACTCGAAATATATTTTTCAATAGTTTTTTTATTTAATTATCAAACGTCAAAAAATATTTTTTTGAGAAATAACTTTCTAAAAAATAGTTTTTTCAGAATTAATTTTCTTATTGAAAATTATTTTTCGTCAAATAAGTGGAGCCTAAATAGATGATAAGTAATCTATCATTCTTTTCTTCCTTGTTCCTTCATTTTATTGCATTTGTCATTCGTCCAAATTCCTCCGAGTCATCCTTTTTGATAAAACAATGCTAATTTATCGAGGTGGAACAAGCTTTTTCACATTTAAAATAGACGACAAGCAATTTGATTCCTTAATAATAATCACAATTTCAGGATTCAATGCGTTATGTCTTTTTTTTTTTTTTTTTTTTTTAAAAAAACTACACAAAACCCTAACAACCATAAAACTGCCTATTATTGTAATTTTATACTTTGTAAGATACTCAAATAGGGGTGTCTTTTTCGCCACTGAAAACAAAGCCAAACTAAACAAAACGCACAGAGAAAGGAAGGTGGAGAGAAACTTGTTTGGCTTTCGCCATAGCATCCTGTCCTATCTCATTCCTCGATTTCACAAATCGGTCTTTCCTGTCTCATCCCTCAATTTCACAAATCAGTCTTTCACTTTATACCCTATAGAAAAAAGACCCAGCCTTTTGTCAACTAAAATTTCTGTTTTTGTTAATTGATCAGAGTAAAAATTATTCGAATCCCCCAAAACCCTATTTTTTGAATGGTTTACACGGTGGATTCTTCAAATTCTCCACGATTTTCAACGGACGGTGCCAACAGTCCTCAAAGGCGGAAGAACTTGCCGTCTCCGAAACCACAAACGGTGAGCGGTGAGGCTGAATCGATCAATTCTATGCTAGAGCAATCGAATGATTCGGTGGGGATTGAGAGTTCGGACAGTAAAAAAGGCAATGCAGGTAAGGCAAAGAAGCCGGCTTGGAACAAACCAACATCGAATGGTGTAGCTGAGATTACCAGTCCTGCTATGGATGCAATTTCATGGCCTGCTTTATCTGAATCTACTAAGGCTTCTCCAAAATCATCACCTGCTGAATCCTCTTCAAAGATCGTCTCTGATGGATCAATACCCACTTCTCAGGTTCGCTTGCTTCTTCTTTGTTTTTTCCTTTTTTCTTTTTCGTGCTGATAAAATTTAGTTAAAAAAAAATTGAATGAATTGGGTTGATTTTGTCTGCATTAGTAGTGAAATAGATAGTAGCACGGTGCGGGGTCATTAGGGTTTCTAACATAAAAGTTTTGTAGAGAGTTTAATTGAATTTTGTATCCATGTTTTTTTTGATAGGGACCGGTGATAGCAAACTCACCTAAGAAGCAAGTTAATAGTAATGCGAAATCCAATTCGGCAACAAACCATACAATGCCAGCTCGGCAAAGGTTGATGAAGCGTGGCGGCGGCGGCGGCAGTGGTAGTGGAAGTACTTCAGGAGGTGGACATTCACAAAACAGCTTTACTCATCCTCCGCCACCGCCACCGCCGCCACCACCACCACCACCATTTCCTATATTTGCAATGCCTCCCAATGGTTTTGCGAATCTGTTACCGGCTATGTCAGATTCATCTCCTAGAGAGCCTCTGTACAGAGCCAATAATTGGGAATCTAGACCTGTTGGGAGCTTTGTTCCTCAGCCACCTGCAGCAAGCGACTACCGACATTCCTCACGGAGAGCCAACTTTGGTTCCCACCGTAATAATTTTGGTGGAAAACGTGATCAGGACCGTGGGCATTATGGACATGCAAGAGATGTTCATGTGCAGCAACAGAGAGTTCAACCAAGGGGCTTTGTTAGGCCTTCACCACCAAATAGTGGTACATTTATTTCTCCCCAGCCTGCTAGACCCTTTGCAAATCAGATGGGTTTTCCTGGTAAGCTTCTTCTTCTTCTTCTTTGTTTTTCCAATGCACATCTGTTTTCTTCAATGTAGATTTGCAAGTGAGGGTTCAATTCTTTTTCAGATGTGCTATATATGACTTCTTCTCCAATGAGTTTGGAAAATTATGTGCCACTCATGCCTCATGGACCACTGCCTCCGCCACCCATAATGTTACCCATTCCTGAACCTCTACCTCGTTCGCTACAACGCCAGATAGAATACTATTTCAGGTATCATCATGTCTGTGACTCTCTTATAAGGGCAAGTTGTAAGCTTCATAAGATCTCTCTCTCGTATAGCCTGTTTGAGAAATGCAATTATGGTTTGCTTGCAGCGATATTAATTTATCCAAAGATGAGTTTTTGAAGTCAAAGATGAATGATGGAGGTTGGGTTCCAATCAGTTTAATAGCGGGCTTTAATCGAGTAAGTGAGACTGACTAATGAGCTTCAGGATTGTGTGATCTTCGTTCTTGGGTCAACTTATGCCATCTGATAAATTTAATTTTGTCTATCTTCTCTAATACCACAGTTTTTCCTAGTTAAAATGCCTTGATTATGAAATATCATCCAAGTTGAGGTGAACTTTATGGTTGTTGCTTGTTCATTTCTTGGCAAATAAACCGTTTAATCTACCATTGAAAATGAGCCTGGCATTTCTGATTTGATGATAAAATGTAAAGTCCTAATATAAAAAATTAACCAGTTTGAGCAAGTTCTAAAAAGCATAGCTGTTCCCTGCCAGTTCCGTCAAAGGATAGCCAACAAAAAGCTCTTAGCAAGCCTCTGAGAGAGTTGGAATATGTTATGTCAATTGAAAGATGGGTTCCTCAAGTCAATAAGAGTCTCCTTTTCTATTTCCTCTCTAGAACTGAACCAAGAATTCTTATTCTTTATCATCAATTGAATCACTGTTAGCAACCAAGGATTCGTTTCTATCATCAATCCAATCACCGTTCATATTTTTTCATTTTCGTATCAATGAATAAATCTCTTTACTTGTATGACTTGGATGTCTCTTATTTCTTGAAAAAGTGATCTGATTGATAGGATTTGGAATGACTTATGAGATCAATGAGATTGATATTCAAAAATTTCTTCTTGAAACATATTGATTTGACCCCATAAGCAGGACCACCACCTCATAGCATGTTGTTGCCAGAAGCAGAACCCCATATTTCTTCTAGCAAATATCCTAGTTCCTCCTGAAGATCTATTCTGGAATTGATAGAGATAAATAAAATTTTATGGAATCCAAGATGTTGTTGTTAAAAGATATGCACTTTGTGCACGGAAGAGTTTCTAGATCAACCTTTTACTCATTAAGTTATCTTATATAGATTTTTTGGATTTAGAATTCATCCTTCAGGCACTTATTATAGGCGTTCTTTAAAATCTTCTTACAATTTTTTATGTAGTTTTGTTTTTGTCCTTGAAGTCGAGTTGAAGATGGTGATTATCTATTCATTAGATATTTCTTTCCGTTATCCTTGACACATACCCTCCACATAGTTTTTAATGGGTGTCTTTCGTTATATGTGTGTGTGTTGATCTCCATCAATTACTGTGCTTCATTTCTTCCTCCCTACTTTCTTGACTTGTGTCACCAGAACTCTGCTTATATAATCTAATCAAATAGTGCTCTGCATTATTTATTCACTTAGCAGCATCTTTCAATAAGACTTAATGATAGAGAGGTGTGAGAAGTGGTTGTTTCCTTTAAATTAAGGCGTGTTTGGAAATGTGAGAAACTATTTTTTCCCAATCTGCATAATGCTGCTCCTTTTATTTTTCTCCTGTGTTTTAATAACAAAGTGCTGATTTTCTTGGAATATCTAGGAGCTAGAATCAGATATTATTCTACATGGCTGATCTTCTTAAATATCATGTAATTGGCTATCAATTGCTATGCCAGTCTAACCTGAAGAGGCAGGTTGTTATATATGTCATGGATATAATTGCAATTTAGGGCATGGGAGTAGAGTTGTGGAGTGGATTGCTGGAGAATGAGGAGTAATTGACCTAATCAATCTTTGGTCGTTAGTAATGACTAATTTTGCTCTCGATAAGTTCTCTCCTCCTCCCTGCTAACCAAAAGTTTTTGAATGCAAGTACAACCAGCTTTCTGTTGGGCTATAGAGTTAAACAAGATTTCTGTGATGGTCATTCTAATCTAATTAAAAGAAAAATTATAAAGGAAAGCTGTAAGGACCACTGCTTTATGAAATTAGTCATGTGTAAATCAATTCCTTGTGGTGGTTTTAAGAACTGGAATTAGGTTCTTATGAGATGTTAAATGTTAGGCAAAAGATGGCTAATGGTATAGGGCTTCTGCATAATGTAGAGCTGTTAGGTTCATGAATAGATGGAGTGTGTATTATCCAAGTAAGTGTTTTCAGCTGTATTATGCTGTAAGAAGTGCTTTACTTTAAATTCGCATCTCGTTAGTACTTCCTGCATTCTAATTCATCTGCATTACACCCTTACTTAATTCGTCTTTGGTGTGCTTTTTCACCTTAACATTGGGGTTGGATTGTGATGACATAGATTGAGGTGCCTTTTGAAGTTGGAAAAACATTTAGCTTGCACCAATATCGGGCATTTCCTAGCTAAGACCATTTGGGAATTTTCTATTGAAATTCTGTAAATGCAAGGTTGATTCTAGTTGTTCCTTCCTCTTGTATTGTCCTTTGACCTTTGTGACCTTGTCTTCTTAATTCACAGATCATGAGCATGAGATGTTTCTTCTTTGATCAGAGTTGACCTTGGTGATTGTTATCTCCAATATTGTAAACTTCACCAAGCCTGCCAGTCTTCCCTATTTTTTTAGATCATATTATGCCATGGTTTCCTTGTTGATACTTGCTTTTTTTATTTATTAAGGGTATCCAATCTGATCCTACATTGCGAAGCTGCATAATTTTTATATGTTATTGCAGGCCAGCACTGATTTGACTTTATTTCTTGGTATGGAAGACTGTGAAAATGCAATATATAGTTTGCGGAAGCGAATAATCTGTTGTGACTGAACTTTAAACGATTTTTGTCTGGTTCATCATATGATGCACCTTTCCTGTATGAACTTGAACTTTGAATCTTTCAGAAATTAAAATCAGTTGTTTAGGTTTTATAACCTTGCTGGAGTTTCTCTATCCACTAAAAAGATCATTTATTTGTGCTGATATTTTGCCAACAGCAATCTGCTTCATGTTGTTTATCTTTTACACTAATAAATGGCCCTTGACCTGCTGGGGATATTTGTTTGTAGTAACCTCCTGCCAACAGTTAGTAGTATATTATTATGAAATTTGTGGTTTTCTGTACTATTATATCCATATTTGACCTTTTCTCAAAACAGGGTGGGATTGGGCCTATGATTTAGTTCAATGTGTTCTATATCTCCTCCATCCAAACTACTTAGCATAGTTTGCCTTTATATGCAATTCATATTTTATTTCATCATTTTGAAATAAAAAAATGGTACACTTTGAATTTAGATTTACTTCTTAATAGATGGTTGTGATTGCAAATCAACTTTATTTTATGCCCATGCTTTTGCAGGTTAGGCTAATGACAAACAGCATTCAGTTTATATTGGAGTCCTTGAGGACTTCAACTTTTCTCGAAGTACAGGTATCTTCTTTTTAATTCAATGATATTAACCATCTGATGAATCTGGCAATATTGCACTTGAAATTTGTTAACGTCGATTGAGAAGCGTCTGATGTTTGAATTGATTGTGATTTAGCACGCAACAGGTGGTTGTGCCCTTATTTTGAAGTTAAATTGCTATTGTTTTCTACTGTCCGATTTGAATGTAAAATTGAAATTTAATCTAGGATGACAAAGTGAGGAGGCGAAGTGATTGGATGAATTGGCTGCCTAGTTCTACACTGCCTCGCACTGAGTTGGGTCTTCAGTCCTCTGGTGCAACAAGTTCTGATACTCTGACGACTTCATTTCAAAAGGTCACAATGGAGGATGTAGCTGCTGATCAGGATAGCTCAACAGCTAAGACATATGAGTTAACTATCCAGGCAGAAATCTCTCATCAGGAGGGTGCTGATTGCTGAAGGCATCTGTTCAAGCTGAAACCAACCAATCTATGCTACCACCGAATACCGACGCAATCATTAAAAAAAAAAAGTACTACACGTGTTTCTGAATGGAAGGGGGAACCTTCGTTGAAAGGTGAGGAGCACCTTTAGTTTTACCTTTTCAGTTTTTGCGCCTGTTTTTGACAACCTGGTTTTGATGAAGTTTGACAAGGCGCATTGCGCATAGAGCAAAACAAAATAAGAAATATAGATATTTATTTTAGGATGTCAACTTAGCAAATTATAAGATTTTTGGTTCCTGTATAGCTTGGTTTTGGTTGTGGATGATTTTTTTTTATTTCTTATTTCTTTTATTTTTTTTTCCAATTTTTGGTAGCAGTGGTCAGTAACATCCACCACGGCGAGAATTAAGCTATTCTCTCTTCACCACCACCGTACTATCAAACACCTATTTTTAGGAATGAACTTGAATTATATTGCATTTTACATGGTGTGGTCATTTTTTTCCTCTTGATTCCCCACGCCACAATCTTCCTTCTTTTATTATAAGAAATAGAGTTTTATTCACACATTCTTCAGTTGCATGACCCATATCTATAGTTCAAAGCCCATGTACTTTTTTCACACATTCTGCATTGGCATGTGTGTGGGTTGTAGTTAAATTCTAGTTTCCAAATGTGTTTGGTAAGCAGAAAATAAAAGTACAAAACCTAGCACTAGCAGGGTTAGTAATTGAAGTACACATGGGATGGGAATTGGGATGAGGAAATAGTTTTGTCCGCTCCATGTCTAGGCGTCCGTACCACCTTCTTGACAGGCAAGCGTGTCTGCTTTTGTTCTTTTGCTTGCTAAACGCCCCCTTAAGCACCATTTTCATCGGTCATCCCAGTTGTGAAATTAGTTATGACAGCGAAAATTTAAAAAGGACTGCAGTTGTGGTCGTCATAGTAACTTCGACATGTAGGTTTTTTTTTCGTGGCTCTTTTTGGAAGAAACAAACAAAGGCTAATTCACTTCCTGTAATTGAGTTTCATAAATAGAAGTGTTTGTGCTTAATCATTTTTCTTTCACGAAAAACGGAAGTCATCATTTTAAGAAGCACCCATCTGTTATTTCAGCATTTTTTTTTGGGGGTGCTAGAGATAAGAAGACGTTAGTGAATTCTCGGGAAAAAAAAAAAAAGAAAAAAAAGAGGAGGTTAGTGGGCATATCTATAGAGTAAATTATAAATCAGTCCTTCCAATTTTTGAGAAATGAACTAATGAATTTTTTTAAAAATTTAATTAATTAATTATTATTATTATTATTATTATTTGTGTTCTCTTCTAATTTGTTATGGTTTTTATTTAAATAAAAAATAAAAAATATTATGAAAAGATATATTTTGAAAATAAAATAATATTAAATTAAGTATAACGAACACAAATTAAAAAAAAAATGACTTAAAAAAATTAATTAATTTGTTTCTCAAAAGTAAAGAAACTGATTTATAATTTACTCGTAATCTATAGACCGTTCCTGTTGGGTTTAGTTTTGGTTGTCAGATTAGTCCTGGGCTACATTCGATCGGGAATGAGCACTGATGACATTAATCTAGCAACGAATTCAGAAATCATGTCAGCGCAAGAAACCTGCAATTGTGCCGGAAGATAAGGCAAATCGAGTAAAAATGGTTTAGATTGACAGCTGTTTGTATCGAACATCACATTGACAGGACTATCAGAGAGACGCTACTTGTTGACATTTCCGTAGAAGAATATAGAGGTTGGTTTTTTACTTGGAAGATATGGTCTGAAATTTAACGTGGCTTTTGTGGGGTATGGTTGGCAACTGGCTTTTCATGCCTTTTCCCTTTGAACCTGCTAAATGCTGATCACTCTAACCAGAACCAAAAGAAATGTCAAACCAGGTTCTCGTTTTCTACCAAGCAAAATCGAACCATTGCCATATTCTACGTACCACTAACAAATGGCCATTCAGGGAACCTCATGGTCCTTTTTCATAGATGTTTTCAGAGGCCATCTTGTCACGTACACGCATGGTTTATGTATGGCCACATCTTAGGCATCATTTTCATTCCCAGGCATCATATTTCACGTGATTCCCTACACCATCAGACCAGAAAACAATAAATAGTGTTTTTTCTCTATTTCTCTCTCGTCCTGTTGCATCCTTTATGCAACCTCTCTTTGATACGAATAGCAGATAATAATGGAGTATTAACTTAGAATATCTACATTTTTCTCTATGATATCAAGTGGGGTTGCCCAAAAAAGGCTAATCTCTTCTCTTGGAAGAGCAAAATCTGATTCCAATTTTCTTAAGGATTAATAGAAGGCTTTTTAATGGATGAGGTTAACTTACATAAACTACAATTGTTTTGCACTTAATCTTGGAATTGAAATGAATAAACTTCCTTTCTTATCCAAACTAAGCAATAAGTACTGGAACAAAACTGTTGTTTTGAGAATTGTGACAGAAGGAGAAGAAAGAGACAAAACTGGATTGGACTTGTAAAGGAATCAATCTCCCTGGGTGCAGTGCAGTGAAAGAACGAAGCAGACAAGAAGTGTGAAATTTTGTGATCTCCTTTAGGTACATCTGTCTAATGATATAGACCGCCCATCACTCTTTTACCATCTCTTTATCTTCACGGTCTGATCTCTGCATGTGTTTTAAGGGAATAAAGGCACCATGAAAGCATTATCGTCCCTGTAATCCAATAGAGTGGCAGACGTTAGTCTTGCGTTGAACAGGAAAAAAGAATAAAACTAATCCTTAGTGCGTTTGATATGCAGATGGGACTAGAGTCCGTAGACCTGGGGTTGGGACAAATTGTCAAGCTATGATAGAAAACTTGGCGTGGAAGAGGACAAGAAACTGGCTTTTGTCTTGATCCATCTTTTCATCAAACGTTGGTACAAGGGTTGTCAAACGTCGGTAGAAGGATTGTTGCTGTCCGCTATTTCTTATAACAGATACTACTTCTATAACACTCTATCTGTAACGAGGCATTAAAGGAAGAATGGACAAGAGTATTGTTCCTTTTACAAGAAAGATAAGGATTTAAGGAATTTTCATTTATAATTTTCAATCCTCTCAATTTGTTTCTTTTTTTTTTTTTCATATTTGCTGGCCAAACAATGATATTAAATTAGATAATTGGGTGGATTGGTTCTTATTTTTTTCCTTATTTGTTAACCAAACAATTATATTATATTAAATTAGATACTTGGGTAGATTGGTTCCTATCCTTTGTTTTCTTTGTTAGCCAAACAACTATTAGTATTGAATTAGATAATTGGTTCCAAACAAGAAACTTAAATAATGTGTAAATGGTTTATTTTATATTTTTGTAATTATTCAAAGTAAGATATGCTTATTAATACGATTTTTTTAATTATTCAATCATTTTTATATTATTTATTTTTAAAAAAAATTATTTAATATGAGATATATTTACAAATACTTTTTCTCACTTGCAATCTATATTTTTGAAAATTTTATAATTTTTTTTAGATTGTTAGGCTCTAATATTATATTAAATAATTGATTTTGAATTTCAACATCTTTAATTATTTATTATTTGAATTAGATAATGTTGTTTTACTTTTTTCAAAGCGTGAAAGGAGCGAGGTTAGATGAACAGTCATATATATATATATATATGTTTTTGTTTCGTAGATCATTAGTAAGTAACAATTTTTTTTGTCAAATTAAACATAAAAAGGTAAGGGATGATGATTACCTGAATTTCATTCAAGTATCTATGCTAGTTAAGAGAAAAATACAAGGTTTAGACGCGTAAAACATGATTTCATTTTTGAGCTTAAAATTTCAAAAAAAAATTTAAAATACTAAAAAAAACTATATATATAACATCCGTGTAATAACCCAAATTTTTATTTTTTATTATTTATTTATTTTTATTATTTATTTTATTTTTATTTTTTTATTTATGTTTATTTATTTTATTTTATTTTATTTTAATTTGAAGTTTATTAAGGAAAAAGAAAAAAAAAGAGAAAGAAAATGATGAAAAAAAAATTTCATTTAGGGATATAATTGAGGTAATTAGGGGTGTAATCGAGTCAATTAAAAAGTTTAGGCCTTAAATTACACCTCCGGAGACCTAATTGATGAGATTGTACTGAAATTATTTCGCGAGAGGGCGTAATTGCTGAAATTGAAACGTGAGGATCAAGCCGAAAGTTTGGAGCGAACGACGGGATCGAAATGGAGCAAATGAGTCGTCGTTCGCTCCAAGGCGGATTCTCTGCGAAAATCTTTGGGAGAATCCGCCCAAATCCTCCATGAATTTCTTGTTTTTGATTGTGTATTAATCATGAATTTTTTTGCCAAAACCAACACTAACATGAATTAATGAGAATTTCTCGTTTTGATTTCACAATTAATCATGAATTAAAGAGGAAAATCTTTGACGGAAAATTCGGGGATTTCGATTCAATTTTAGGAAATTTTTTGGCTATAAAACGTTTGAATTTCACATAAGGAGGAGGATGGTGAATAATTCGAGTAGAGAGGTTTCGAAAATCAAAAGCAAAAGGCTAAATTTTTAGTTTTTGGTCACTTGCATTTTACGGGTTTCGGGTTCCGTTCTTCGTGTTCTTGGTATTACGGGTTTTAGTTCATCAACCAATGGTTTCATTCAATCCTTTTTCTTGGTGTTTTTCATATTGATTTTCCATCCTATAGTGTTGCTCAATCCTATATCCTAAAAATTAGGTTCAAATCCTTCAATTCTCGGGTTTTCCTTTTTGAAGTTACGCGCGAGTTCTTCATTTTTTTGGGTTTACGGGTTTGGGTTCTTCATTGTTCTTCACAATTCGGGTTTCCAATTTTCTTTCTCATAATCCCAAGCGATCGGTATCACTCGGGAGTTCCTCATCGCCTGCCGATCACCACGGGGACTCGCATCTCATCCTCCCATCCCTCAAAGCCACAATCAAATCGTCTCTTTAAGAAATCTCGAGTCGTTTTTTTTCTTTCCCTTT